TCACAAGCATTGCATCCATCTTCTCATTTGGTGAAAGTCTGAAGGACCCAATAATCTTTCCTTCACCGAAGGGAAGAAACTACACAAAATGACATGGTTTACATTTCTAGGACCGGCTCCAAGCCTGACGCCCACTTGGAAGTCATTCCTCTTTAATGCCAGCTGCCATGATTTTGTTGCTATTCTTTGAGGCCAATGTATTTCCACTATGTGCACTCACAGTAAAGCTGAACTACCTGAAGGGGAAATACACTGTTTCCCCAACTCTGAACAATACCCATCTTCCAAAGGATTGGGTTTTGCGCTAAGCGCATGAAGGACTTTAGTTTTGAGAACATGAACATATATGTGATCAGATGCAACTCACAACAAATGTAAGTTTTCAAGGTGGCAACAGACCAGGAAAAAAAACCCACCACTTTTTCAACAGCTCTGCAGAAATCACCAAGAAATCTAAGTAAAGGTTTGCCCCATACCACAGAGAAAGAAGCTTGGCCATCCCCAAATGATCGACAAATTCTAGAGAGCTGTGTGAACCTGTCACACCTGCAAAAGGCATCACTTGGTAGGGCCTTTAGATTTACCCTACGGAGACTTTAATGAACTAGAGAAGACAACTCACAAGATGCAGGTGTCACCCCCACCATACCCTGCTGGCCACGGGGATGCCACAAAGGATTCTTTTTGTCTCTCACAGCTGCGGATCCCGCCCGCTATTAAAGGGCACAGGAGCAATGGCTAATTAAAAAGAGAGAGAGTTGGCAGTTCTATTCATGTTCTCCATGGAAGCGGATACAGAAGGCTCAATTCCGCCTAGACTGAAGCTCTCTGGAAATTCTAGGCCAGAGGCGAAGAGGAGACTGCAATGCACACGTGTCCTTGCTAGAGGCAGACCCAAGAATCCCGCTCTTACACCGCTCCGCGCATACTCCTCTGAAGGACAGAAACCGGCATTACTTGCACCTGCCCGCTGCCAGGTGAAAGCGCCAGCCCGCCCTTCCCCGAGGAAGAAGAGGGGGAGAAGAAGAAAGAGAGCTCGAGCACCCGCGCCTCAGGCTCGGCCGACTCACCTCATTTTCCCCGCAGCTGAGCTTTGCGCAGCCGTTTCTAGCCAGCCGCCTTTCCCCTCACCGCACAGCGGGAAGTTTCCCCGCCCCGGCCCGGGATTCGGCGACGCTCCTGCAGCAAAAAAAAAAAAAAAAGCGGCGGCAGCAGCTGCTACTCTGGCTGTCAGATGCTCAATGGAGGAGCGCCCGAGAGGAGGAAGAAAAGCCCGCCGAGCGCTGCCGACTTCGCTCTTGCATCTGCTCTTCAATTCTGCCGCCTCGCTCGGCTCCTCCGGCCCGCAGGCAGTGACATCTTCTTACCTCCCCACCACCGGCCAAGGGCGCTAGCTGGGGAGCCGCTCCTCGGCGCCTGGCAGCTGGTCCAGGGCCCCGGCCATCTCCCCCCGCCGTTTTCCCGGGATGTGGCGAGGCAAGAGTGGGCGTGGGACAAATCGCTGGCGAGGGAGGAGGAGAGGGAGGAGGAGGCGGCGGCGCACAAAGGCCGCGGGGCTCTGCTGCCCACTGCTGCCGAGAGACACTTCCGCCAGCCTGTCTGCCGCTGCTGCAGCTCTCACGAGCACCGCGGACCAGGCAAGTCCATCCAGGCACGCGCAAAGGGGAGAACGCACGCGGAACGTTTCTGCAACACACACAAACACCGGCAAGCGCGCACGCGCCTGTCGCTACGAGCAAGGTGCGGGCGCCTTTCCGCTTCGCTTTGTAGGGCTGTGCCGGTTGCTTCTTTTAAAAAGGAGTCGCCGCTCCGCCGCTGGTATTTTCGGTGCAATTAATGTAGAATCTTAGGGTACCCTGTTCAGTGTATTTTATGTCTGCGGAAACTTTCGTGGGTTCTTACCGTTGTTTTATTCCTTAAAACCAAGGATGAAATTCAGCAGGTTCTGGAGAATCTTTTGAGTAGTTCAGAGAATCGGAAAATACCACCTCTGATTGGCCCCAGCGGGGAGGGAATGGAGATTTCGCAGTATTCTTCCCCTGCCACACCCACCAAGCCACACCCACAGAGCCGGTAGTGAAAATTTTTGAATTTCACCACTGCTTAAAACCGATACAAAATGTGATGCTGTGTGTATACTGTGTAGCTTTCTCCAGTCTGCCTGTCTTGTGCTTTACCAGTTGGTGTGTGATTTACCTCAAAACCAAACACTATAGCTGGAAAGCCATTGGAGCTGAAGTCGCTTCAAAATCAGTAGTTCCAGTCAGAAAAGGTTATTTCTTTGCCCCGAGCATTGAACAAAATAGATCCCAAACATTTTAATAACAGTAGTGGACCCTACGTGCTGAGATGTAATTACAAACTTCAAGCATTAAAATGCAGCAATTTGTATTTCCAATGGTTGTTATCTGGTTGAGTTAAAATGTCCTGAATTGGTAAGTGTGTGTACTATGTGTGTATATATAATGTATACAATTCACTGATGCTTTTGGCAGAAAAGGAGAACAAAGTATTCTTTCAGTTTAACGGGTTTATTCTTGTATGTCAGGGGAAATGACTCTTTTAAGATGTGGTAGCAGTTGGTGTTAGTGAAGAAATAGTTTCCATTTGCTGAATGGAAGAGTCTCTTCTAAGTAGCTGCTACATAGGATCAAAGAAGAAATGTGGGGTGGAATCAGGTGACATCTGGCCCAAGCCTTTAAAGTGCCACAAGAACATGCCTACAGTGTCTATAACATAATTCCAGAGATCATAAAAGATGACAGTCTGTAGCTCAGAAGACTTCAAAAATATTTTACTCAATTAAGGGAAAAAAACATGAAATGCAGAATTCAGAGGGGTGCAAAAGAATGTCTGGAGGAAGGGTGTCAAAGATTTGTGAAATATGCCATTTTTGTGAGTATGAAAATCAAACACAATGTAGTGACATGTGGATTTCTATCTCTCAAACCATGTGCATGCCCAGTGTCATTCTCATGCCAAAGCTACTTTGGTGCTCTTAGGTCACTATAAATTGAGCAGTTTTAAAGGCACTACATATTTTAAAGGCACAATACTTAATAAACAGACCAAACTGTCCCTGATATTTTTGCAGCATGCCTAAAATCAACAGCTGGCCAGGAAAAAGGCTCTTGTAGCAATTTTTAACACTGATTCCATCCTCCTTATTTGATTCCATTTTCTGGATTGGTTTGATTGGAAAATCAAAGGCAACTCCGAACGGGTCCAGATCTCTGGAAACTAAGTGATGCACATTGAGGCAAACTCTGCCCTTTATGTAAATACTGGTAAGGTCTCAGCTTCTAAAGTCATTGTCTTGAGGATAGAGATAGAAGAAGGAACTGCCATATTGTAGTATTCTCGTACCAATCTATGATACAGCTACATCTGATCACTACATTTCAAAAGGAATAGAATAGTTTGAAAAAGGGCAAAAAAAAGTAACACTGATATGTACAATTATTTTCCATGGCATGGTGAAAGTACACAGCTTTTTTATCCTCCCCAAAAAGGCCATCCAATAAGGCTTTTTAGAAGACAAGAAGAACAAAGTATTTCTTCACACGACATATAATTAAGGTGTCAAATTCATCACATGGCATGGTAATGGCCACTCACTTAGATGGTTTGATACATCCATGGAGGAGAAATCTATTAAATATTAACAGTCTCTTCTACTAATTACAAAGGAATACCAGTTGCATAGGAACAGAGTTGGAAGGCCTCTGTTCTTTCTTGAGAGCACCCACAGGAAAATGAGTGGCCACTGTGAAAAACAGTATGGTGGACCATATTAATTCTATGGATTGAGCCACTATTACACTGATAGTAGAATTTAACAAATCGTGAGCTTGATCTTTTGCAATCCCAAGTGAAAAACATCCTGACAAGACTTTTGTTTTTATAGTATTAGATTAAAACAAAACAAATACACTATAGTCATTTATAATGTACACCTACAAAGAGTAAGACCCTCCTACAATCCTGAATCAATTTGATGGAACCAGATATGGGAGCTTTCAGGGGTAGAACAGAAATTACTCAGAGGTGATAACCAGGGCTCACATCCTACTAATCTGAGTAAATGCATTGTTATAATTTTAATATCCATTGAAAAATGTTTATTAAAAACTAATTGAAAGAGAGTATATGAAAAAAATGTTTTACAACAGTTATTTTAACTTCATATTTTTCAGTATATTTTCCCAATTTTAGAATTGTTGATTTTTCTCTAGTTTTGATTTCTAAAGTATTGTTATTTTATCTAGCACTGATTTTGTTAAAAGTTTTACTGAGTTTAGATGTTTTTATATAAATTTTCTGTTATTGTAGTATTCACTGCAATTTATTTCAAGTGCTTAGACACATGATGCAACAATAAATTCTATGAATTTTGTTTATAGGAATCCAGCACTAATGGTCTGATTTCATATTCTCTGAATAAAATATAATAATTACAAATACAAAGGCAAAGTTCATGCAGATTCAAAATGCTTTGGAAAGTTATATTCTTGTATAATACATTAAAAGTTTCATTGTCAAATTCAACTCATATTGCAAGTTATAATTTTAATCAAAGCAGTATATTGATGTTTATTGGTGTCCTGCAATTTCAATGTAGCATGTTGGAAACGTAATATAGAAGGCTATCAATTTATTAAAACTTCAACCTCTAAAAACTGGAGCTTAATGTTCCCTTTCCACTTGAGGAAAAAAGCCCTTTATTATTTAGCCTTGTAGAGCCTGCTTATAATTTGGTTCATTTCCAATATTTAGATAGATTCCCCAATACAAACAGTAATTTTCAATTGGTTAAACCAGGAGTGTCAAACTCATGGGCCACGGGCTATATGCATCATGTGCTGGCCACGCCCACCCGCATTTTAGCGAAGGGGGGGTCACAATTCGTGAGTTTGACACCCCTGGGTTAAACAAAACATGTTACGGGCATATGAGCTATTTTACACTATTACTAGTTTTACTTCATTGCAAAATGCAGTATCTTCTTGTACTATAAGTACCAATCTATGAAAAACTCAAGAGCAAAAAAGGGTGAAATTGTTCATTATTATACGGGGCATTCCCAAACTTTATTTTGTCAAGTGGTTGCATTATATGATTTGACGTCAGAGGTCCTCTGCAATGGGATACAGACCTCTTCAACTGAATACTGCTTCACAGACACCTCTAAAAACATAGCAAACATATTTGTCCCAGGGAACCAGATTTTTTTTCTTAATGGTTCACATGTTTATTTTCCCATTTCCTCTGCTGGTTTATAGTAAGCTTAAAAAGATCTCTTTATACATGATCTACTGAGTCTTAAAATACAAATATACAATATCCATAAGCAAAAGACAAGTAAAGCTTTGAATGACTCACTATTTCTTAGGAACTTCTAACAGTTTTATACACGTATAAACATTCATGCTGATCAACATACAGAATGATTTCCTCTATCAACCAAACATCTGAGAAGGGATCAGACAGGTCATTATTTGTAAGAAATGTTCATTAATTTTTAATCCTTCAATTTAAGTTGGAGCTGTAATTCCTGCTCCCATATTCAAGTTAAACCTGTGGTAATCCACATTTAGGGTTACATCTGTGCTGTAAAAATCTACATAAGAACGTTGTTCTTACATTCCCTTCCATTCAGCTAGATGGCAGAAAAAATATTTCAGCTCCTTGCTGCCATCTGGTGTTTATCTGGATTTCTGCAGCATAGATACAGTAGTATAATGTAATACAATGTATAATTATGTATAATTTCAGAGACAATGAAATCAAAGCACAATCCAACAATGTTAATCTTACTGAACTTAATTCTTTAGTTGCAAATCAATGAAAATTCTAATCTTCACATTTATTCTTTTAAAGGATTTATAACTCTAGTAGCAAATTGGCCAGAAATGTTGTTTGAACCTTATATTTCATTTCACAGGCAAACCTATGAAGGTTCCACTGAAATGAACAACACAGAACAGCAGTGTTTAATGGTTGTTCACTTATCTCACCTTGGTCTAAAATTTCTGTCTGCTTTCTTCACTGTTTATTAGAAATAGATGTACCATCATTTATGCAATCATTGATATTCTGACAATGTAGTTAGACAGTACAAAGCTGATAAACAATAAAACAGCGAAGCAGCCATGTGTAATAGTAGAATAAGCTTTTTGGTGACTATTTCATATTTTTTTTCATTTATATTGCATAAATATTCAAGCCATGACTTCATTTTAAACTTGAATTTCTTCATATAATATACAACAAAGAGATGATAATTGTTTTTTGAAGTGATGCTTAATGAATAACCAAAATAATTATGGTAAGTAGCCAAGGACTTAACTTTCCTGAGGTTTGTAAGAATTTCAAAATCACAGTGGCTAGGCTAGACAGTAACCATACTGTTAAATTTTCAATATACATTTTGTACAGAACTTTGATGCAAGGCCAGTTCTTGTTTGCACATATAGCTTCATGCAAGGATTCTCCTAAACAACTCGCCATTGCATAATGCTAGTATCTTTTCCACCTGTAGAGATGAGATGAGTATCTTCATATAGAAAATCTACATTGGTTACATGACTGCTATGCCCACCATACACATGACTTGGAGCCTGAAAGACATTAATAAAAAGGCACATTCAGTAATACAGTCATAATTGATAAAGGGAACAACAAAACCTGTCAGTTATAGCTAATAATTAGAGGCCAATTTAGAGAGAAATCATGCCATGTTGTTCAGCAGGTGATACCACCTATCTGACCTTGACTCAGCTCGGAAGCTAAGCAAGACCAGACCCGATGGGCAACTACCAGGGAACGGGAACGTCAGGGATGAACGTTAGACTGGGAAATAAACACACAAGAAAAAGGGAACAAACCACTTTTATAGTCTGGCATTATTTTTGCTTCCATCAGCCATGCCAGGAAGGTACATCACTGTGTTTATGGCTAAAATCTATACTTCCTTGATAAATGCACATTGGAGATTTGCTATGGCTGCTTCAGCCACCATTTTTTTTTGTGTGCCTTCAAGTCACTGTTGACTCCTGGCAACTGCTTAGACAAACCCTGCAGTTCTCTTGGCAAGATTTCAAAAGTGGTTTGTTCCCTTTTTCTTGTGGGTTTATTTCCCAGTCTAACGGTCATCCCTGTCGTGCGCGTTCCCTGGTAGTTGCACATCGG